CTTCAATTCTTTAATTTTCATGTCCTATTTCTTGAATTCATTTTTTTTGCATTTAGCACACCTTTTAACGATTTTCTAACTTGTTCCTACAATTTGATATGAAGTAACAGTGAGAACAACTTTCACAAACAACAAAGTGTATTTTAATTTTAATAACTTTCATAAAAAAATATACTTGCATAACATGAGGAGAACAAAACAAAAAATAAGTTAAATAATAAACCAAATTAATTTAATTAATTAAAGACATTATCCAAATGTTATCTATTTAAAGAAAGAAGTAACTGAAATGATATTTCATCATAGAATTTCTCTGACAAAAAATTACATATAGATACTTAGTTGAGATATGAGGCCAAAACTTATAGGTCATATAAAAATTGCTTCAAAAAAGAAATATTTTTAACCATGTGAACATATTTAATATATCCCATAACATTCCCAAAATTCTTATATTGGTCAAAGAAACGTTCGCAAAATTGATAAATATACTTCATGCAAAATATATATATATATATATATATATATATAGGTCTTTCTTTAGGAGCTAAAAAATAATACTTTTTAATAATGAAACTCTAGTTTATTAGCACACATGGATGACATAAAGACTGTAGGGCACAAAGTGATTTAATTTGTTTTGTTGAAAAAAGAATATATAGGTCTTTCTTGACCTTCTCAATTGTTGTGTAATAGCTTTGTTTAGGAATTTTAAGCCATGTTACATTGCTAACTAATATGCTAGGGTTTCTTCATTGTCATATTACAAAAAACCTATGTCTTCTGGTAGTTGTTCTTGATATATTAAGTCGTCTAACAAATATGTTTCACCTATTATCACCTGTGTGTGTGTGTGTTTTTCATGGTATCCACTTGTGTTTAATACTCAATTTTGAAACTTGAGTACCTTATAGATTATTTTAGTTGGATAAAAGTTCTTACTAAAGGTCACTACCATCTTATCTAGAATATGATTCTTTATCAAGGCTTATAGGTCTCATGTTAATTATAAAAATGATCTTAAAGGAAAAGAAAGTGTACTTCTAATACAAAATAAAAAGTTCTAATCTTAAAAAATATTTTTGAAAAATGACCTTTCTTATTAAAAATATATATGATTTCATTAATTTTATTTTTAAGTTAAGGACATCCAACAATTTGTAAATCATCTAAAAAGTATATGTGACATGATTGAAAAATTAAAAATGAAACCACTCTTAATATCCAAAAGTCTTGCATTAGATGTGTTTTCTCAAAAGAAAATCACAATTTCTATAAGATTCCTAATCAATAAAATGTTAAATAAAGGAACCACTATCTTTTAAACAATAAAAAAGAAGAATGAGAGAGAGAGAGAGAGTTGGAAACCTTGGATGACAAATTTGAGAAAAACATTTAAAATAATTAAGATAAAAAATGACTAAAAAAAATTTATAGAACAACTAAACTTGTTTCTATACAATAATTGAAAGATGATATTTTAAGTTATTCATCACATAAGACATTATTCATATTATTAGTGCTTATGCTCTATAAGTTGGCTTTAAAGTCATTCAAAATCAAAATTTTAAGAAGATTTAGAAGGAATTATCCAAGACATTTCTAAAGCTAAAAAGATTTTTATAGGTGGAAACATAACCGATCATATTGGTTCAGAGGCAAGACAATTTACAAGTGTTTATGGTAGTTTTGATTTTAGAGTGTTAAAAAAGAAAGGATAGCTTATTCCTGATTTCTTAATTACCTATAACTTAAAGATTATAAGTACTTGTTTCAAATGAGAATAACATCTTATCACTCATCATAGTAAGGTATCAAGATTAAAAATCAATTTCATTATGGTAAGGAGTTTAAATAAAAGAATTTTCAAGGATTGCAAAGTAATTGTAAGAGAGAATCTTACTACACAATGTATGGTTGTGGTAAAAATAAGTAAATAAAGAACTCAACAAGTTATAGATCAAGTGATGACTACTTAAAGGTAAGAAATAAATATATTTTAAGAAGGATTTAGAAAAAGGAAAAAAGAAGAAGAAGAAGATAATTGAGATGAACAATATAGTGCTAACAACATTTGCACCGAGATGGCTAAGAAATTCAAGAAAGCTATCAAGACAATTTTGGATGAATCTATTAGGCCAAAAGATAGAAAAAATAAAATAAAATCTTGGTGATAGAATGAAAATGTGTAAAAAAATATTAGAGATAAAAGAACATATTTTCAAACCTTACATGTATACAATAATGCTAAAAATTGGTTAAGGTATTAGAATGAACGAAAAAAGATAAGAAAGAAAATTAGTTAAGTGCATTATAAAGATTTTCAAGAATTATATAAAGATCTTGGGACATAGAACATTGAAATAAAAATATATATGTTAGTTAAAAGTAGAGAAAGATAATAAATTTTGTTTAAGTTAGGTGTATTAAGGATGAAGAAGGAAAATTTTTAGTTACAAATCAAGTTATAAAAAATATATAAAAAAAACTATTTCTAAAAATATTTTAGTGATGGACAAAGAGCTAATAAAGATTTAAAAAGATTGAAAAGCTAAGAAAATCATCTAAATTTAGCATATTATTGTAAAATTTGAATTGGAGGAATAAAATAAGCTCGTAAAAAGATAAAAAATTGTAAACCAATTGGCCTTAATAATGTCCTTATTGAAGTTTAAAAATGTATAGAAGAATAATAAATTATATGTCTTACTAAGCTCTTTAATCAAATCTTGAAATTTAAGAATGTACTAAAGGAATGAGGGAGGAGTATTTTTGTCCTTACATACAGAAAAATGATAATATTGATAATTGTGCAAATTACGAAGGATTCAAATTTATGAACCACACTATGAAGTTAAAAAAAAAAAAGGTGAGTGAACACATAATAAGAAACAAAATTAATATTGTAGATAATTATTTGGGTTTTATGCCAAAAAAATGTCTAAAACAAAAACTATGTATCTCAATTCTCCAAGTTTAGCACTTAGGATGTCTAAAATAAAACCTATGTATCTCAATTTTCCAAGTTTAGCACTTGGGATTAATTTTAAAAATTAATGAAAAATTAGTAAAGATGTTACTTGTAAAATATAAATTATGTGGTTAAAGTGAAAGAAGATATTAACAGTTATTTGTACTTGTAAAGTACTTATCAAGTTAAAAATGAAGTTTTATTGTACTATTATATAACTAGCTATCTTACATGGTAGTAAATGATAGATCTAAAATGAATAACATAAGAAAAAAAATGTGACAAAAATGAAAATATTAAAATAGATAAGTAATCATATGAGAAAGAACATGAGAAGAAATGATTGTATATGCAACGATATTGGAGTAACACTAATATTATAAAAGATAATTGAAAATCATTTAAAGTGATTCAATCATGTGCAATGAAGCCCACTAGTGAGAAAAGTTGATTGCATTACTTTTAATTCAGAAAGACTCTAAAGGAAATTATTAAAAAAGATGTAGTAATAAATTATATTTTTGATAATGTGATTATTTATTGAACTTAATAATATTTTATGATGATTCATGTAGTCTACCTCACCTAATAGGATAAGACTAAGTTGTTATTGTTATAGATTTTTTTTTTTTCTAATAGCCTTCATTTACATATGCTTTTATGACAAGAAATTCAATTAATGTAAAGGAAGACTATCATTAAAAAAAATTCAAATAATGCAAAAGATAACCAAAATATAGTAGACATTAAAATATTATAAGTTTTATTATATAACAAAGGAATATTTTAGACAAGCATAATTGGCTAAGTGTACAAATTATACTTGACATATTTGTGTATCTAGTATGTAAAGGTAAGCACAAGAAGTAGTGTAATAAAATCTACTTTTTTTTTAATAAATAAAAAAGTATAATAGGTGAAGTAAGTAGGGTCCACTCTACCTATTTCTATATTTAAACGTACAAGTACAGTAGAAAAGTTAGGTGGACCCCACTTTATATGATTTTTATTTGATACAAACTTAAATTATGTAACTTTTCCTATTTTCAATGTAATTCAAAACAACAGGCGACAGACTAGAGTTGTCAACTCAAACAATCTATATACTATTTCATTACATGAGAATTTTTTTACTACGAAACTATTTTTCATTCAATTATTTCTTATTTTTAATTTTATCAAGAAAATATTAATTGTATCAAATTATTAATTTGTAATTACTTTATAAATTTTGAAAGAAAATAATTTTCTTGACTTAAAAAAATGTTATCCACTTATAAAATGTGTACTTTATTTTAAAAATAAGATTAGTTTTTCTATTACAAAATGTCTCTTTCAAACATATAAATTTTAAAATAAGTCAGCTAAGTGATTGATGGCATGAATTATATAAAGCCTAGAAAATTATACTCACACTAGTAAATTTTGGAGCAAATACAGATAGTTGTAGCACATTGTTTCTTTCAAACCATCCATAGCTATCACATTTTCCTAAAAAACACGTGTAAGGCCAGATCTCAGCTAGCATATGTGCTTACCTAGGAAAGAGACGTTAAAGGTTCGACCATCTAAAAGACTCAAACAAAAACTTGAAACCCATAGTTTTGAACATTTACACTGATTTTCATGAAAATAAGCTGACACCTTTCTATGCTTCGGCATTCGTATTTTTTCGGGATTACCACCAATAGTACTTGAAGCACCTTTGTAATACGACAAAACTCCCTGGGCATTTTTCCTCATGTCCTTTTCTTGCCTACACTTGTCCATTTCTTATCCATCAAACCTTAACTGACACCTCGAGGAAAGAGTGAAGAAAAAGGAATATTCCTGAGTAATACCAAGGACAGGACTAGTAAAGGAGCATGGTAAAGTGTGTGAATGCGTGTATAAAAATGAAAGCTTCTGCAAGACATGTATTGATAATTGAAAGAGAATTAGATATAAAATGTCTTTCTCTCTGAAACTAGTTTTTGAGAAAGTGATACTTTTCCTTAAAAAGATATTTTTCTTGCAAGGAATTGCTGAGATGCATGAGGAAAATCCAAGTTCTGATCCTCTTTTATCCAATTATGGTAATTCCAAATTGGAAGAAAGTAGTAAAAGCAATGAATTATCTATTGATAATGATTGTGATGACAGTCGATCATCTCTAGTCTTAGAGGTTAGTTTTGCATTAATTTTTCTTTTCTTTTCAAATTATTCATGCATGTTAATAACTTATCATGATGGCTTTCTTTTTTAGGTAATGGAGGAAATCAAAGACTTGTACACCATTGCTTTCCCAACAATTATCACCAGTCTTCTTCTTTATGGCAAGTCAGCAATATCAATGCATTTCTTGGGCAAATTAGGCAAAGAGGCATTAGCTGGTGGATGTCTAGCTATTGGCATGGCTAACATCACTGGTTATTCTATCATTTCTGGCCTTGCAGCGGGCATGGAAGGTATCTCTTCTCAAGCTTGTGGAGCACAACAATGGGTGCTTATTAGTGAAACTCTCCAATGCACTATCATGCTTTTGATATTAACTTGTATTCCTATTTCAATCTTATGGCTTAATTTTGAACCTATCCTTCTCTTATGTGGCCAAGACCCAACCATATCATCTGTTGCTACTACCTATCTTGCATTCACTTTACCTGACCTCATTTTGCAATCCTTCATTAACCCTCTCAAGATTTACTTAAGAGCACAAAGTTTGACCCTCCCTCTCATGTTTAGTGCTGCTTTGGCACTTGTTTTACATGCTCTTATTAATTATGTGATCGTTCACACTTTTAGCCTAGGCATTCAAGGTGTTGCCTTGGCTAGTGCCTTCACCGATTTAAACCTTCTTATTATTATTTTACTTTACCTTTGGTTCTCTGGAGCTTGTTCTAAATCATGGCATGGTTGGTCGCATCAATGCTTCAATCGATGGAAGCCCATTCTTCACCAAGCAATCCCAAGTTGTGTTTCTATTTGCTTAGAGTGGTGGTGGTATGAATTGTTAATACTTCTTTCAGGGCTCCTAACTAATGCAGCCGATACAGTAGCCACCACTGGAATAATAATTCAAGCCACTGCGCTTACCTATAATTTTCCTTTTGCACTAAGCTTGGCTGTTTCAACAAGAGTAGGCAATGAGCTTGGAGCTAACAAGCCTAACAAGGCAAAGACATCATCATTCACTGCACTACTATGTGCCTTCTTCACAGGCATCATATCTATGACATTTATGGTAACTACAAGCAATATTTGGGGACGTATGTTTACAGATGATGAAGCTATTCTATCTTTGTTGGCAAAAACATTGCCTATAGTGGGACTTTGTGAAGTTGGAAATTGTCCTCAAACTACAATATGTGGGATGCTAAGGGGGAGTGCTAGGCCTACTTTGGGTGCTAACATAAACTTGGTCTCATTTTATATTGTAGGTTTGCCTGTTGCTCTCTTGATGGGCTTTGTGTTTGATTTGGGCTTGTTGGGCCTCTTGTTGGGCTTATTAGCAGCTCAAATAGTGTGTGCTATTGTGATGGTGGTTGTGTTGGCAAGAACAGACTGGACAGAACAAGCAAATCGAGCTAGAGAGTTAGTGGGTGAAATAAATGAGGACAATGGGGAAAATAATGAAGGCATAGAAGAATCAGTCTCTATTGTGTCGCTAAATTAACATTTGGTGATACTAAATTAGTAGAGATCTTTTTCCTAGTTACTTTAAAATAATAATGTATGTCTTCAAAATTTTAGAATAAGCTCCACCTAGAAGTTTTCAATTGCACCTTATTTGGCTGTAGTATTTTATATTATTGATAATGTTAACGGTTTGATGGTGATTTAAACCAAACTTGACTCAATGAAACTAGTTCATATTTTGTTTGAAAGCTTGAAAATACATATATTTAATGCTAATATAATCATAAAAAAAAATAAAGAGTTCAATAAAATTAAAAACAATACTTTTGAATTAGATCAATAATAATAAGTAAATAATGGGACAAAGTAATAAGAACACATTCAAATTTGTAATAATCTACCAAATTTTCTTTTTTTTTTTCTTTTTATACATAATTCATTATTAATTTTTTATTGTATTTTTTTAATTTTATCATTGAATATAAGTACATACAAATACTAATAACAAAATAAGACACAAATTAGATTTTGAAAGTGAGCTTACTTCAGTCTTGCTATTGGAAAGTTAAATATTAATCTTATATTTAAATAATTTATATATATTATACAAACACTTTTTTGTATGTAAATTTTATTTCAATAAAATTCATATGAACATTCAAGGTAACATAGATCTTATTTTTTTTTAGATTTCACTACTCCATCCATGTGTTTGTAAAGTTAGTTTTATAAATATTAATTTTTATTTTTAATAAAATTTTATAGTTAGTTTATTTGATGAAAATATTCAAATTAATAGTTAGATTGATTAATTTTTTATTATATAAAAAAATATTAAGAGGTGTAAAGTTTTTAAATTTGACACATGGTGTCAACAAATCCTAACTCTATATCAACCCTATATTATAAATGAAAATATACTATTTAAGAAGCAAAGCATTTATAGAACTACTATCTTTCACATTTTGCTATATATACATTTTAGAATTAAATTGTCTAAGAATGAGGTGTGAATTACATTCTTTCTTTCTTGTTATAATAGTTTTACTTTATATTGATATCTTTGTTGATTTTATTCTAGATTTTAGATATTTAAGTTATTATTTAACTTTCTTTTATTGTCTAATATAAATTTTTAGAATTTTTGTGAACATCTATTCTTACAAATTACAATCATAAAATTTATCTTAATTCTTTCATTATTAATATATATTACTTATTTATATTAAATTAAAAAGTTTTTTTTACACTATATAGAAAAATTATTAATCTAAAATCAATTATATTTAAAAATTATTAAATGTTTATTGTTTAGATACATAATATTCATAATTATAAAGTTAAGTCAAAATAATTTTTAAAAAATTTATTATTTAAAATAATTATATATATATATATATAAATTAGTATTTTTATCTTTTAACTTTATTTTTTAATTTTATTTTAATTTATTTTCATCCTCTAACTTATAAAAACATTTCAAAGAAGTCTTTTTTCATTAAAAATTGAACTTTGTTGAATTTGTTTTCTTTTCTATCAGGCAAATAGTTTGTGCACAATTTATTATTTTACTCAAATTTTTTATTTACATTTTATACTACATCTTTTAAACACCTCTTTTTTATTCTTCCCTTTTTATCATTTTCTTTTTTCTCTTCAACAAACCCCACACGAATTTTGACAAAAAATATTTTTAAAAATTATACATTTGTTAAAAATCTATAATCATTTTAAGAAAAATGTTTTTTTTTAAAAAATTTATAAAAATATTTTAATCATTTTATAAGTATATTTAAAACTTTTTATAATCTTTTGTTCTAATTATAATTTCTTTCATAAAAATAAAATTTAATTGAAAAATAATTAAATAAAATTACTATTAATTTTTAATATCAAATTTTAATATTATATGTACATGAAAATTCTTTTAAATTTTTATTATATATATTGAAAATTAAAAAATTTAAATTCAAATTATTTTTAAAATTTATATTAATTTTAATAAAAGATTTTTTATTTATTTATAATTTATTTTTTATTCTATTATATTTTATTTATTTTATACAAAAATAATAGTATGATATTATCTGTTTTACTATCATAACATACATTAAACATAAAATAGAATGAAGATTTATTTTTCTCGTATTATAAAGATCTTTATCCATCTCGCTATCTTATTATTTATTTATTCTATTATGTTTGTAACACCTTGATTTAATTTTCAAATAAATAAACTTCACAAAAATAGAAATAATAAATTTTTTTATTCAAACGGTTCTCAATACATAGTTCAATAAAGTATTTTAAAATAAGGATGAATTACAAGTTTATATCATATTATTATTACATGACTAATTTAAATACATCAGAGTTTTCAAAATAACTTTCTAAGTCCTATAGGAGTTTCATGCATCCTTTTGCTGAGCCTGATACTGATCGTCTTGGTCACCTAAAAATAAATGTAAGAATGAATACTCTATACTATCACACACTTATTTTCTACATTCTATTTCAATTACAACTATACAAATAACAGTATATACGATGTTTTAACATAAAGAGATAGGGTAGAGTCCCTCATTACCTTGGATTAAAGACCCAACATGAATTTATTGGGAGAAAACATCTTCCACGCAGTATTTTGTCCTAAACATATGGAGGAATTTCATGAGAAACTAAAAAGAACGGAGAAAGGATGGAAAAACGTAAACCCTAACTCTCAAACTTACCTCCAAACACTTCAAACATGATTTCAACCTTCAATCTTACATCCAAACAGCTTTGGAGGCAATTTAATCGGTGAAATAGGATTTTGAGTCGAGAGAATCATGGAAGAAGAAAAGGAAAATGTGAAAAATACAATTTCTCGAACTCTAACCCCTCAAATACTTTTCTGGTCGCGATATTCTTACTACAGCGAGACCCCTTCTCGCTACAACAAAAATATTAGAGAAAATTGCACTTTAGTTTTTACAGAATCTCACTATAGCGAGACTGCACCCAGAAATGCACCCTCCTCTGTTGTCATTTCGCTGCAGCGAGGAGCCTCTTACTATAGTGAGAACACAACATAGTCATACCATTCGCCCACGACCTTCTCGCTACAGCAAGAATGCCCTTGCAACACACACTTAGCATATTTTTCCAACGAATCCTATTCAATTCACAAATTAATATTCATATTTCAAATCATCACACAGTTACAAACTCACATATACTCATATTCGTACACATTCACACATTCACGTCATCACATAAATTAAAAACCGTGCATCCAAACGCCACATATACTCATATATACACATCCAAACAACAACTCAAGTATTTATATTAATGAACACATTATTACATAATTCAAGGCATTACAATGTTCACCAAACTTACTCTTAAAATATATTTAGGAGGAAATTTACAGAGGAGAATGATAAAGAAGATATAGTTTTTAATTTTAAATTAAAAAAGTATATATTATTTATGATAATTAATATTAATACATTAAACTTATATTGATGTATCAATTTATATTTATATTTTAATAAATTTTAAAATTAAATATACTTATTTAAAATAAAAAATTTGTCTTTCCCATCGAAACTTTATCTTTTAAACAACCCTTTCATTATTCAAAATATCATTTCCAATATGGTTATGATATTGTGAGTTTATATATGAGTTTTAAAAATAATCACTTTTGTAATTATTTTTGAAACAATTATTAGAAAATGAAATTATTTTCTAAACTTAAGTTAAAATAATTATGAAAATAATACTCAATTATTGACTAACTTTAAAATTTCAAATAAATTATTTAAAATTATTAATTTTAAACAAAAAGAAAAAACAGTTCTCACAGTTGGTATTTATAAGGTAAATTTTATAGTGTTGCTTAAAATGAAAGAGTATTCTTTTAAACATGAAACAATTATGACTCTTAATTTTATATCAATGGATAGTTAGGTTAGTGATTTATTTGATAAGGACATAAATATCTTTTAATTTTTAAGATATTAAATAAATCACAACACTAAATTTAGAAAAGATATACAATGCCTCCTCAAGTTTAAAATTATTGTGTAAACAAATTTTAAAAAGTTATAAGTAATTATAAATCTTCGATTAAAGTGAATTCTTTGACACGTACATTTTTCTAATGTCGATTGGTGATTGAAAGAAAGTATTAAAAGAGAAAAAAATATATTCCTAACATAAATAGAAATACTAAGTTGGTATCCACTTAAATGAATTAGTCAAATAAGTTTTTTTTATAGTTATGGGTAAATTTTTAACTATAGATACAAATCAAAATATATCTTAAAAAATAGTTATTTATGCATTTTTTATGAAATTAATAATTACGTTATTAACATGATTAAAAAACTAAAAATATAGGATAAAATTTAAATGATATTAAGCAATATCTTTAAAATTAGTGAATATATTGATTCAAAGTTTATTAATAATCCACCTGTAACCCAATCCCAGTCAATAACATAAAAATCATAATTTTAATAGATTGTATTTGGAATTCAACCACTTTAAGTTATATAAAGAGTAAGAGTATGTTTATTTTAATTTTTAAAAAAAAATTTCTCTTTTCAAAAATAAAAAATAATTATATTTTTGGTTTTTAAAAAGAGATTTTAAAAAAAAAAAAAAAACAAGCATGGTCTAAATCTCTCAACTTTTAGGATATAGCCTCTTGGGAGGAACTCATAAACCTCTTGTATAGTGTCATGGATGAAGAATATATTAGATTATTTTAATAATCTATACACTTTAATTAAATATTTAATGGGATGGTTGTTAAATATAAAATATAGATTTATTAAAAGTATAATTAGAAAAATACAATTATAAGAAAACTTTCCTCTCTTTTCAGATAAACCAAAAAGCGGTTAACAAAATAAAAATTACAGTCATTCTCATTTTCACGGTCTCTCTTTATTTTCACAGTCTTACGGTACCTAGAAAAGAGACATTGTAATACTCTAAATTTTCAATTGTATTTTCTTGTTTACAAAAGAAGATTTTTCC